AAATACGAACCCAACAACACAAAATTCAACTCAATCCAAGCCCAAATGAGTCCAAATCAAAGACCCAAAGCACATTTGGAAGGTTCAATCCATAATTTGGATTACCAAACAGTTTCAAAATATGGCGTGCTTATAGTCGAATCGAGCGGCTCGACGAGGTGAATCCAACGAGCCCAAGATCGTTGAATTCTGATATCATTAGGGCCTTCAAATGCACAATAAATGGTCCAAGATCAAGGGATTCAACATCGGCCGTCCATTCAAATCACTCCCAACTTACCCCTAATATTCCTCCTATTTACTGATCAAGCTACTCTCAGAAAACAATAAATAGCCCCTCATTTCTCTTAAGAGGGAATCCCAAGCAAGAAGAGAAGAAGGGAAGAGAATGAAGAATAGAAGGAAGAAGCTCCTTATCGACAATCGCCGGACTTTCACCTGGCAGCCGACCGACGTCGGAATTAAGCAAGTAAGCAAGAAGAGAAGAGAGGGAAGAAAAGGAAGAGAAGGAAGAAGCTCCTCCTCGACCACCACTGGACTTTCACCCGGCAGCCAACCGACGGCGGAATTAAGAAGGAAGCAAGAAGAGAAGGAAGAAACTCCTCCTCGACCACCGCCGAAGTTCCACCCGAGCTCCAAGTGACGCCGGAAATCTGCCCGACCTTCAAGTGATGCCAGAGTTCCATCCGACCTCCAAGTGACGCTAGAACTCTATCCGACAACCGACTGACGCCAGTTTTCTATCTGATCGTCAACTGACGTTGGCTTTTCGATATCCGTTTATAACTGAATTTCAACCCGAGAGTTGATTATTGTAATCTAGTCGTCCTAAATTTTAGGGACGAGTCAACCTTTTGGTAACCTAAGCAAATACTAGTGGAATTCTTTCAAATGGGCGTGGCCCCGTGGTTTTTCTGTTTCCAGGGGTTTCCACGTAGAAATTCTGGTGTTCTTTCATCTTTTGTTTGTGTTAGATATCCGTACAACGCTGAGATGAAAATATTCTAACTCTATCTTTTGATATATTTTAGCCCGCAACAACACGTATCACAAGAAAATTGAACATACAGTTATAATCCATCAATTTTTCTACAGGCGTAAGATTAGTAGAAAATATAGAGCATATTAGGACAATTTTCAGAAAAGAATTAATATCCCCAATAGCTTCAATAGTTATCAAGCGGGATAGATAATGATCCACGATAAGATATGAGGTACTAATAATGCAATTGAATACAATGGAATCCACAAGTCAAAATGAAGGACATAGAGCATTCATACCTTGTTTCCCTAAGGATGCATAATACCCAAAATTTAAAAAAATGTAAGCATAATTTTTGGCTCAAAATTTACCCCATTTTATCACACCTCCCTAAAACATCAAGCCTATTTCCATTCTATTTTTAATTCCAATCCATGTGATGAGAAGTATATCTAAAATATCAATGTAATAGTATATATGCATAGGCATTCATTAAATAGATGTTTAATATTTAATTAACAGTTAATTAAAGCAAATTAAGTTTAGTGTGGCAAGCATGATTAATGAACATTTAATTGAATGTCATACTGTAGCAGAAATTTTTTTAAATCAGCCTTTTCCACTTACCTTTGCATGTCACGGCCAGATGCAATCAACGGCTGAGAGTGTATTGGAAAGACAGTAGTAGGAAAAGCATTAGAGATATTATATTATTATATAATTATGTGAAGTCAGCATTAGCCTATTAAGCCTTTCCTTCCCATGCCATTTTCGCCACCCGATTCTGTTTGGATCTGAAGTAGTCGTGAGCAAGCAGTGAAGCAAAAGACAAAAGTGTTGCGGCTGCTAGGAGGGTTCGGCTGTTGGGAGAGGAAAATTTCAAAAAAATAGTAAGGTAATAAAGGAAAAAGAGAAGGAAAGGAAGTAGGGGAAAGAGCTTAGGAGAGAAATGGAGGTTAAATTGAATGTCAAATTTATTTGAGGTAAAATTTTAGTCTTTTGGTATTCTAGCCTATTTTATTCTACTGGAATGCAATTTTTGAAAGGGAAAAATGTATGCTTTAGGGTGTTTACAAGAGAAAAAGAGGTGATATTGTAGGAGAACAATTCATAACTAGATGAGATATCCAATCTGTAGTATAGGAAATGAGAGCATTTTATATATTTATGGTAATTATGGTAGCCAAGTATTTCATAATAAGCATGTTCAGTGTTTACTGGTTAGTTAAGTATCAAATTGAGTTATTTGATAAACACTGCACGTTGAATGTGATACCACAGAATGATACTGCAGATATTGGTTATGAACATCTGAATGTAAAATAAAAGGGAAAATGAGAAAATCACATTATGTGGGATAGCCCCGCACAATTACAAGGCGAAAGACCTGGCGAGGTAAGCCTTAGAAATCATACAAAAGGTACCCAACTCTCTCACTTCTAAAAATTGAAAATTCAAATCCAACCTTGAATGAAAGAGATACACTCTTACTTCTAAAAGTTTGGAATTTAGACCCAACATTGAATGAGAGCTGTAAATGTGCAAAAGCCTATAGTTATCATATGATTTGTCTAAAGTATTAGAAAGTAAATAGAACAGGAAATATAAAAAGCTAAATATGCATTGATTTCTTATACAGCTTATAATTCTTATAAAAATCTCAATATTATTTACAATTGACTACAAATTTTATGTTTATTATTTCTTACACTATGATTGTGTATTTCATTAAGCTTTAGCTCATTAGCAGTGGTTGTGTTGCTGGAAAGGGGAAGGAGCAAGTGGAACTCTAGGCAGGAGGTTGATTGCACTTTTCTATGTACATGAGCAGTCAAACTTTTTGGTATGTAAATTTTATTCGACAAGTATAGTAGCCCTGTATTTTATTTGATGAGTTTGAATATGCTTCCAAATATGAACTGAGTAGATAAATTATTAAAATTGAAAAATGTACTGTGTTAAGATAGTCTAAATAGATCATTTCCTACCCATATGATAGAAGTAATTCATGATGGGTGTTAGTAAGAAATATGTCTATTTAGATTCTCCTTATCTGTTATACTCCAAGTTAACTGAAGGGGATCAAAATGGGGTATGAAAGGATGATGGGGCCTAAATGATCATTTATCAAACCATTTCAATTCTAAAACCCAAGTTGTCCAAAATTGTTAAACCAATGGTACAATTAGCAACAATTGCTTATTTTGAGTTCGACTGTTGATTTTAAGAATGAATATGATATTTCTTAATATTGTGCCTAGGCTTTTTACAGAAAAGCAAATTTTCTCTGCACTATTGAAAGAAAAATGTTTGTAGCCCTTATAACCTGAGAGTTATAAATGTTGCATATTTTTCCTTTGCTTTTCACATGGTTTGAGATGTAATTGCATTCTTATTCATTTAATGTAGCTAAAAGATGTTCTGTGGCGCAATATATTGCTCTTTGCGAAATAATTCACTGAAGTATAAATCCAAGAAGGATAAGGATCATGATTTATTAGATTGGAAGAATGACCTATAATTCAGGATGAAATTTCATCAAAAATTGATTCACCTTTGTTTTGTTTGTGAACCTAATGAACAACATAGAGTGATTTGGTAGATAATATCGCATAAATCATGTCAATCAATTCAGTCAAAATACAGAGAAATAATCTTGGATGAAAAGATTTCCTTACGTATAACTAGAAATCTTATACTCTAATTGAAAATATATGGTTACATTATCTTAATTATGATTTTTTTGTAAATACACTTGTACATCTTTAGTTGATTTATATGTACTTAAATTGGGGATGGAAAGAATCCTAAGATCCGTGTCATATTCTTAAATCTTTATTTTTCCATTGAGCTATTTTAGAAAATCCAATAAAATCATTCTGATTAATGTGTCCCTATAATTTTTTTCCCATAATGAATATTCAAATTTAAAATTTTCAAGCAGGGTATGTTTTACTTGTGAGGCATACACCAAAAATGTTCAAATTATTGGTGATAAGGTTTGCATGAAGTTTTATGAATTCAATTAACAAATCCCGAGAGATGGCTATTAAGAAAGATAAGCCAATGCCATCAAACTAGTCCACTTTAGCGAGTTTCAAGCCAAGAGATAGAGGTGCACAAAGGTTCATTAAGTGAAAACAAAAAAGACAAGGAGGGGGCTTTTGGTGGAGATAAGGCGTATTGAGTTAGCATTGTATGATATATAGCAACATTATATAGTGTAAGATTTCAGCGAACAATGTAGGTGAGAAGAGGACCATAAAAGCCAAGGATCATGAATATGCCATTGGCATAGGCAAGAGGAGGGATCGTCAATAGTCTTTCTCATAAGAAGTTACACCAAGAGACACGAGGGGACAGGGATCCACATGAGAAACGAGAATTGAGATGAATGAGAGGGGACAAGGATCCACATGAGAAATGAGAATTGAGATGAATGAGAGATACGGAAGAGTTTGAAATTACAACATGAGAAGACGCAAACTTATATTTGGCAAACAAGAGGGCTCTAATACTATACCAAAAGATTTCTTGCACAAATTGCTTGCCCTCACCTAGAGAATTCTAGCTACATAAAAAACAATAGGTATTATACAAGATAATGATTAAGTGGCTTTTTAATTAGATCTAGCCTAACAAGGAATATATAATTATTTTCCTAATGAACAAATATTTACATTTAAACTAACAGATTTGCATCCATAATTAATGAATGGATATTTATGCTATAATTTAAGGCATATATGGTTGATAAGGAACCTTAAATCCAAAAAGGAAAATTTTAATTAGATTATTGTCCAATTAATTTAATGTCACCGCACATTTAAGGAAAAAAGCTAGAGGATAAAAGATGCTTCTAGATCATTCTCATTTACCTTCTACATACCATATATCTTAACTTTTTAAATCTACTGTATAAAGTCATACCATCGTCAATTAAAAAATTAATAATCAAGATAAACTATAACAATCTCAGCATAGTATATCATAAATAAATGGACATAAAATACTCCACCTCTCACGCATAGGTACACATGGACAATTCCAAAATCCTTGTGCCGCCTCAGCAGCTTTGTCATCATAATGCCTAAAGAAGTTACAAGTATGTTAAAAGGATTGATTGCTACTGAAAATCATGTGAAACAGGATAATTAGCCTGTAATAAAATCATTAACCTGCAAGGACATAGGGGTGCCCCAAGAGTCTCTTTGTGATCAGCAAGCCCCTGCACAAGAAAAATCTCATAGAATAATTCAAGAGGGTTTTTCTCCAATAATGAGATGGAGGAAATTTCAAAAACTATAAAATTTAAAGACTTCATGTCTCAATACCTAAAACATAAAGGAGTTGGATCTTATGTAATCAAACATTCCTGAGAGGAATAATTCTTGCTATAGCAACTGGGAGGAAACTATACAAGACACACACACATAACCAAAATAGATACAACCCGGCTTTTATTAGGTCCTAGCATATGGCTCATCTCCTAACTGCAATATGTTTTCATGAAACAAAAGTGTTTTTTAAGTGTTGAATGGTCCAAAATTATTTGCATAATCATGTGCCATTCCATGCTAAAATGCATGCTATTTTCAAAGTAACATTTTCAGGATTATGGATTAACTTAAACATTTTTATATTTTCAATCATTTGAAGTTGTCCAATATAAAAATGAAGATAATACAACAGAATTTTCATCCTTGACTTAGCCCAAATAAATAAAAATCCAAAAATAAGCTCACAACTACAGAAGAGGGAAAAGGACATCATAAATTCAAAGTAGTCATTTACATTAAAAAAATAGTAAACCTAATGGAAATCAAAATTGAAGGCATGATATGTAAAACAAAGTTCAATAAATAACAATATGACAAATAAAATATTGATCATGTTCTGGTGCGACAAGTAAATACTAGTTACAATAGCTGCAATTGTTTGAATGGCCATGATACAGTAAATTTTATTAGCGTGACTCAAGTTGGCCTGATGCAAGAAAAAAAGTTAATAAAATCCATGAGAAATCTTAACATTGCAACAAAGCTTGCACGTTTATAGGATTAGCCAAATAAATAAAAAATGAAGTTTAACTAGATACCATTAGCATAATTATTAATTAGCCATGCTAAATGATAGGAAAAGTTAGTGAAGTGATGTCCCATTGCATGGTAAAGGCTAATATGCTAAGTTCGTAGAAACAGTAACAAGCTTGGAGTTTCTTAAATTTGGATGAATTAAGAATCATTGACCGCAAGTTTCCCATAACTTTTTGGAGGCAAGAAAGTGGTCAAATATGAACACTAATTAGCACAACACTATAATCCTGATATTGATATGTGCATGATCTATAAAATGTGAATTAGGGTGCAGCCTACTGCCCATCTTTTTCAGTGAATTATCCCATGAAGCTATAAGTAGTACAAAAACTCTTACTGTCAAGGTAAAAGTTGTGTAAAAAGAAGACCGGACACTCTTGAATAAAGGAATGTAAAGTACTGAGGATGAATCAAAGATGTTATTAGAAGGGGGAAGAAAGAATATGCTCGGGAAGACGAACTTTTGTCTTTGGAAAGTCATCACATATAAAATAATTATTACAACAATACAATCGAAGGAAATTCAGTCGTTTATTAGTTCTGAAGCTAAAGGTACTGTATTGGATGTACCTTGATGACAACAGACGTCACTCCTTTGTCAACACAAAAGTATGTCTCAGAACGCCGAGCATACTGCTCTGAGAATTTTCTCATAATCTCAACTGTCTTCTCAGAAGGTTCTACTGCAAACATTTTAAATATCAAAACATGGCATAGAGAATCAACATATTTGAAGTAGGGTGCTTTAGGATACAGATTGCCAACACATATCTAATATCCAATGAAGATATAGATGTAACCAAACAATGGAAAAAATTTAAATTTTCATACAAAACATATCTAATATGCAATGTAAATATAGATGTAACCAAACAATGCAAAAAGCATCAAATTTTCACACAAACTATCAATCTTAATTAACCTTTGACCCTCTTTGATGAAAGCCATAAAATGTTAAAATCAAATTCAGGAGAAAAAAATTTTTTTCCATACAAGAAATTTATGAAAAGAAAGTTAGGATAACATAAGCCAAACATACACTTGAAATCTTAAACAAAAGAAAGAATTCTAGATTATCATAAATATGACAAAATCCAATCATATTATCAACCAATAAGAAAGAATATGACTAGAAGGAGGTGAAGAAAGAAAGAAATAGGAAAAAAGTCACAGAGAAAGCAAGTCTCACACTTGTACCAAAAAATAGTCCCTCCAAAAATTTCAACTCTCATACTTAAACAAAGAATTGAATTCAAGAAACAGAAGGATTTGCAAATTCAAAACAAAATTTTATATGGCCAAATATATGTTTTTTACATGCCTTTAATACCAGTATTCAAAAGCTCAATAGAAAATTACAAAGGAAAAAGAAACTCGCTCAAGGAAGTCATTGCTAAAGGATCAAAATATAGAAAGCTACAACCAACCGGTTATTGCTACAACCCAAAAAAAGAGTTGAACCAACCACAAGAATCGCAACAGGAGCCACCAATAAAAATATCACAGGAATCACAAGACCCGCCAATAGAAACAATAATATCGACCCCAAACATAAACTTTAAAAGAAGTAATAATCAACCACAAAAAATAGGAAATCTATTCTACAAAAACAATAAATTGTGGACATGCAGAACACATTTAAACTAATAGTTTTGGGGCATTATAGAAAAATTGATTTCTTCATAAGTTGGATATAGAAAATCTATTTTTGGGACAAAATGAACAGTGTTTTTTTCTCCTAGTGCTCTCACTTCACTTGTAAACAATCTTGCCAATCCTCAAAAAAAACTTGATAAAGATTAGAAATAGCAACACTAATAAGTTTCTTATGGACAATAACCCTTGCATCACACCAATAAGAGTTTTGCACCTTATTTGAGCAGTTAGGATTGATTAATTTCAATAAAATTTAATTTAAATCACTATAAAAAGATGAATTTGATCTAGGTGCTCAATTTGGGATCTTAGCCATCTTATGCCACCAAAAAAATCATATAAAGACATGTATTTTGCTTAAGCTCACCAGAAATAATACACCAAATTGGAAGTTAATAAAGAAAAAAAAAGATCAATTTGAGTTCAAAGCCTAGAGAGCTAACTTACTAAAATTTTCAGAAGATTTCCAATAACAACTGTAACCTCAAATCTACATGCATGCTCGGTACTTTAACAAGAACATGAAGTTCTTGATATCTAGGAGCATGTGCTTAAGTTCTACCATAGTCCCATGCATTTGCACAATTTCATCGATTTCACATTCCGTTCTTCTCTTCACTGCACCCGATTGGCCTTTTATCCTCAAAATTAAAATATCAGATAACTACGACTTGATCTGAAGCATTAAAATCAGCCAAGAATAAGAAGGATAAGGTTATTACAAGTGATTACAAACCTCTCTATCATAGTTCTAGTCATCCAAAGGATAAGGTTATTACAAGTGATTACAAACCTCTCTATCATAGTTCTAGTCATCCAACTGGGACTAAACAAAACCTTTCAATCTAGGAAAGAAATTGTCCATATTTCGTTCGCCTGCAAAACTCTTAAACCTTAACAAAAAGAATTACAGACATAAATCTCAATCTACGGTCATAAAGTTCCAAAAAGCAATTCCACCAACTCCAAAAATAAGCAAAGCCCCCAGCACTCAAAATAGGGGCAAATTATTGGGTCAGGTGACCGAAGCCATCTCTCCATTCGGTCGCCAATAAAAATGCGCCATCTGTTAGGATTTTTTTTAATTTAATATTAACGCTTTATGTCTTTTCAGAGTTAGCGACCCGACCCGATAACGCTTTTTATTTGAATTTCGGCAAATAAAGAATGGAAACGCCGCGCGACATCTTCACTGTTACTCCAGCTCCAGCTCTGGTAAGCGCTCTCGAATTCCTCCATTTCCTTCGGTTCTGCATTAGCTTGTTTTAATATTGAGCTGTTCTTTATCACGGGAACAATTTCAGATTGACTACATTTGTAATCCTCATCTTGCTCATTTCGCCGCCAATTCATCAGTACCTTCTCCAAGCCAAGAAAACAGTCAGTTAATGAACTTGTTGGCTTCGAAATGCCATGACACACATTATTAGTACATTCACTACGCTGCGTTGATAAAATGCCCATGCAAAAGGAATCCTTGTTGAAAGCAGTTGACCACTTTCTCCTAATCTTATAAAGATCCTGCAACCATTCATGGTTATGAAGATTCCCTTCCTTGATCATTTCATCCCACGCTTCCTCAAACACTTCCTCAGAATCACACCACCTCATACACTTATGGAAGAGTCCTCTAACTTTATTATTGCTATTGTAGATGGAAACTTTTGATGGAACCTTTTTAAAGATGTGCCATTGGCATAATCTATGACGAGTATGAGGTAATGCAACTTCTATGGCCCTGGCCATAGCTTGGTCCTGATCAGTGAATATTGTTGTTGGATATTTATTACCCATTATTCGTACAAATGTTTTAAACAACCATGTAAAACTTTCAATTGTCTCTTCTGACAAAAAAGCAAGCCCAAACAAAATATTCTGCCAATGATTGTTAACACCAACAAATGGCGCACAAACTAAATTATACTTGTTCAGCCTGTAACTAGTATCAAAAATCAACACATCCCCAAAACATTCATAATCAATCCTGCTTCTGCCATCAACCCAGAAAAAATTTACCAATCTATCCTCATCATCATATTGAACATCCCATGCGAACATGTGGTCCTCCACTTGTCGATCTTTAAATAATTGAATCAAAGAATTAGTGTCACCAATTTCAATCCTTGCTCTTTTCTCCTTCTGAATAAAATTATATGCATCCCTCTTAGAGAATCCGACATTCTCACATCCACCAACTTCCTCTGCAAGGTAGGCATATGCATCAACGGTTCTAATCCCTGCATCTGTCATCGATTTCAGGACTGAAGCTCTTTCCTCAATAATATTCCTACATGATCTTAAAAGGTGTCGGTCGGCTGGGCTAGCTAATTCATGGTTGTGGGATTCAATAAATCTTTTGACATGCCAGTAACCATCTTCATCTGTGACAAACCTCACCATGGCTGGACAACCAGTTCTGACAACTGGTCTAGTGAATCTCTTTCTCTTACCTGAATTATGATCGTCACTTTTTTTGAAACCAGCTTTTGAACAAACAAAGTCCTTCGATTTTATCTTACTTAAAATCAATAATGAAAGCTAAGAAACAACAACATTATATTTTCTTTTTTTTTTTACTTTTTCGACAAAAGAAATTTATTAAAAATCGCAAAATCAAAGATCTTAAGACTAATGAGCTGAAACCTACGTCTTCTTTCTGCGGCGATAATATTAAAACTGACTGTTTAGAACTTTCTAACTTACCGAAATGTTGAAACCAGAGGAATTTCCGGCTACGTTAGGTTCCGATTCCGATTCATGCATTACCCCTTGCGATTCATGCATCCTTTCCGATTCATGCATCCTATACGATTCATGCACTCCCTCTTCCATTCCCTCTTCGACCTCCCTCTTCGCTGAGCAGTCCATTTATTCTCTGCAATTTTCTGGCTCATTTTTTCTTCTACAGCAGTCTTTATTTGAGTCTTTCGCGGCTTTCAAAATGAAAAAATAGGGCGGCAAATGCTTAAAAGTTCAAATGAAAAGCGTTATCGGGTCGGGTCGCTAACTCTGAAAAGACATAAAGCGTTAATATTAAATTAAAAAAATCCTAACAGATGGCGCATTTTTATTGGCGACCGAACGGAGAGATGGCTTCGGTCACCTGACCCAATAATTTGCCCAAAATAGGACCTAGAGTACAATAAAATAAATTACCCTCTTGATACCACCCCAAAAGCTAAATCCTTCTTAAAACACCCTTCCATGAAAACCAAAACTCTAGCCTTCTAAAGCCGCACAGTGCACAACAGAAAACAGGGACAAACGATGTGTGAAATCCTACTAATTATGCAATGGTTATAATGATATATTTGTTCCCATAGTTTGTCTAGCAAACCTAGAGCTAGAAGCAGTCGAACAATCTAAGGAACCTTCCATCTTTACCATCGATACAACTCCTAACAATCCCCAAATCAGCCAAATCCGGTAATACGCAGAATAAACAACTTCGTTTTTTCTCACCTTTAGCTCGAATTAAACTGACGGAGCGACGTAGGGGCACCACGGCAACTGGGAGCGGAAGAGCGACGCCGGCGAAGGAGGATTGGATGCTCATGGCGACGAAGCGGCAAAGGAGCCTTTGTGCAGAGAGTTTTATGTCCCGTGTTGCGCCACTCGTCACTGGTGTCAGAAGATAAAGAGAGTGTAAACAGAAGTTACGAGCAGCCAGAATAATCGGTGGATTTCTTTGATGGCGATTAGAAGCTTTTTGGGGATATATATACTTTTGTTTTTGTTTTTTTTTTTTTAATTAGAGGCAATCATGTCAATTCCATTAAAAATAAAAGATTTACAAAAGAATAATAACATTTGTAAGAAAAATAAAGCAAAAACATACAAAAGTGTAAAAAAAAGTCTTATTAAGGCAAATAAAAGGAAAAAAAATAATTACAATCCTAATAAAATAACAAGAGAATGAAAAATTCTCTAGCATATCCAAAATCCTCCCACAAAGAGCTAAAGGCAAACCAATTGAAAACCAACAGCATCTCCAGCATTCAAGGCAACTGCACAGAAATAATCCAATCACCAGCAAACTAGCAAAACCCAAAAACTCCTTATAGAGAGCAGAGTTGCAAGACCAAACCTTCCTTCGATAGAGCAAATAACAGACAAACTGAGACCCAAAAATAAAAACTTGAAATGCTCAAATACCCATACAAAGAGTTAAAAGCATACCAACTGAAAAACCAACAGCACCTCCATAATTCAAGAAAAATGCGTAGAAATAATCCAAACACCAGCACACTAGCAAAACCTAGAAACTCCCCATAAAAATAGGACAACAAATAAACCAAAAACCAGCTCCTTGCATGATCCGACCATCTTCCAAATGAGAAAACAGCAGACAAATTGAGACCCAATAGTAAATACTCTAAATATCCAAGAAACCAACACCAAAAAACAAGCCAGCTTCAATACAAGAGACAACAAAATTCCAACACTTGAACCTCAAAGAGTCAGCTACAGAGAACCAGAAGAAAAAAAGAACACAATGAAAAAATCACAATAAAAAAAAATTTCCACCAATCCTAAGCCAAAAAGAAATTAAAAAATAAAAAAAAAATCAAATGATCCAGAAATGCAAGGACCCAAACCACCACCACACTCAGAATGGGAAACAAAACCTTCTTAAAAACACCTCAATCGAAGGTTAGTAAATCTATCCTCGGTTATATAGATTGATCATCCAAGGTGAGGAACCTGGTTGTCGAAACAAACCTTCCAAGAAAAGATCGAAGGTCCCAATCATCATAGCTCAAAAAGCCCACAGAATCGAAAAACTAGCACACCTAAAAACCAATAATATTTAACACAAACATTCTATCAAAACAAACAATGCTTAATGCAATGAAAGGAATTCCAACATAAAATATTAGCTAACAAAGCCTTTTTAATTAAATAGCTCACCAAATCTGCACTAAGAAACTTATTTTCAAATCTCCTTACATTCTTTTCTTTCCAAATGAAATAAATAGAACAAAAAAAAAATTAACATTAGAAACAAAATGAAGAGAAGAAATATAATCTAGTAATCAAATCAAATTAGTCCTAAGCATAAAAAAATGAATATCTGGCAAAAATTTAGAGATAATTCTAAATGAAAAATCACATTCAAAAAATAAATGATTGTGACTCTCTTTAGCATTTAAATAAAGGATACAAGAATATAAACATTCAAATTTCTTTTAGCTAGGATATCAGTTGTTTTAAGACCCTTCAAGTTAGCCATCCAAGCATAATAAGAAAATCTTATATAGCATATCTTTTATGGCATATATAATAACACCATTCCACTTTAGTGAAGTTATCATAAAAATCATTATGAAAAAATTTTAAAGAAGGGAGAATAACCCCATTCCAAGAAATATTTGAAGCTTGTGGATCAATAATAGAACGATAAAAAATAGTCAAGCAAATAGAAGGATACAAAAAATTTGAAAATTTCCAGCAACCTTGAGAAATCCAAACTCCCTACATGCTTTTACATAAAGAGGAATCCAAATTAATTATAGCAATCTCAACAATCTCATAGAAAGATTTCCCCTTACACCAAGGATTCCAATAAAGAGAAAGTGAGCTATTAAGAAAAATATTAAATAAAACCTTACTTTTAATGTCTCTAGCAATATAGGTAATATTCTTCCAAAAGATAAAAATAGGTTAGTGTTGAAATCTTATTGATTCTAGAATAGGTTGTTAAACCTAAACTAATGTCCCAAGGCTAACTAAGAGGGGAGGGGGGGGGGGGGGAATTGGTAATTTTAAAAATTAACCCTTCTTGGATTTTTAAAAGTATGAAACCGATTAATAAATTGAGCAAGTTAATTTAGATTTTTCAAAAACAATATTTCAACCAAAGAAAAATAAACTTGCAGTAAGTAAATAAGCAGTGAAAATAAAAAAACACAAAGGTTTATAGTGGTTCGGTCAAACACGACCTACATCCACTTCCTGAAGTCTCCCACTTCAGATATTGCGCTATTACCAAAGTGACTCTCATTTTTCCCCCACAACAAGGCGAAGAAGCATTTACAAAACTCTCTTCCACCAATCCTTAGTGTAGAAGAGAATTGTCGTCCTTTTATACCTTCTAAGTGTTGGCAGAAAACCTTCGTCCTTTCACACCCTTCAAGTGTAGGCAGAAAACCTTCAGTTGTTCATACTCTCTAAGTGTAAGCAGAGAACTTCATCCTTTCACACCCTCCAAATGTAGGCAGAAAATCTTCGGCTGTTCACACTCTCCAAGAATAGACAGAGAATATTTAGCTATTCACACTCTCCAAGTGTACGCAGAGAACCTTCGGCTGTTCACACTCTCCAAGTGTAGGCAGAGAACCTTTGTCCTTTCACACTCTCCAAGTGTAGGCAGAGAACCTTCTGCTTTTCACACTCTCCAAGTGTAGGCAGAGAACCTTCGGATGTTCACACTCTCCAAGTATAGGCAGAGAACCTTCAGCTGTTCACACTTTCCAAGTGTCGGCAGAGAATCATCGACTGTTCACACTATCCAAGTATCAGCAGAGAACCAGATATTCTTGAAAGATCTTCACATAAGCAATCTAGAAGTACAAGAGAAAGAGTGAAGAAATCATAAATCACACATAGAGATCCTTAACCATGAGTAAACTTGTGAACCCTTTACGCTCCACTAGGAAGAAATATCTCTCAAACACTCTCTACTTCAATTGCCCTTTATTAATCATGAAAACCAAATGACAAAAAGATTAAAAAGTAGTTTTTAGTGAACCTTTTATAGAAAAGACAAAAAACCATCCAAAAAACTAAATTTGTCAAATTTGACTGTCAATGATTGTAACATACCCGTCTATTCGTATGCATGAATAGTTTAAATGCTGTTACATATAAACTTTTTGTGAATTGGTACGAACTCACTTTCGTGCATGATCATCATCCGGTATGAACTGTGTTCGTCCGGTATAAACAGAAGAAATGTCAAAGTGTGTACGTACCAATTGGTACGAATAAATGAATGAAAGCAAACCATAGGCCATCATCTCGGTAAGATCAAGAATGATCATCCATACGATCTTCATTCGAGGATGAACCAGAGGCCATCATCCTGGTACTATCAGAAGGATCGTTCGTTCGATCTTTGTTTGAGGATGATCTATAGGCCATCATCCCGGTACGATCAGAATGATCACCCGTACGATCTTCGTTTGAGGACGATCCAGAGGCCATCGTCTCGGTATGATCAGAATGATCATCCGTACGATCTTCGTTCAAGGATGATCTAGAGGCCATCATCCCGGTACGATCAGAATGATTGTCCGTACAATCTTCGTTCGAGGACAAATTAGAGGTCGTCGTCCTGATATGATCAAAATTATCATCTGTATAATCTATACTTAGAAAATTTTTTGATTTTTTTCTTCGTTTCATTGCTCATTGGGGAAAATAACTAACTAGATTGTCCCATATGAAATAGTTTTATACTGTACGATCAGTTTAAAATTATAAATTTTAGGACTCTACCCCGGTGTGTGTGTGTGTGCTCAGTTACTCAATTACAATCAACTCTCTCAAACTCAATAAAATAAAAAATACATACTTCAATTTACAATACACTCTAAACTAATCTTTATTTGAAATCTTCAACAATCTGGAGTATGATTTCTCTAAAATGTTATTACAAGCAAGAGCAAAATAAGTCTTCCAAATATGTTAGGAGAAATAATCAAAATAATAATACTTATAATCATCAAGAATATACAAGCTGCAAGAATATCAAAAATGCATATAAACTATCTCAACAATCTCCCCCTTTTTTATGATGGCAAAATAATTATTATTTAACTAAAATTAAAAAACTTAAATTTCTCCTTATCTCCCTTTGAATAAATAAGCGTGTGAATATAAAAGAATTTCTATGAAGAATAATTTAATTTATTTTTTATTTTTTAAGTTTTTTAACACACAAAGTGCAAAAACAAAAATGAGAAAAATGTAAACAAAGAACGAGAAATAAAAAATAATCAAATAAAAATACAAGACACTCAAATACACACACAAAAACTCTAAATAAATAAATAATCAAATATAAACACAAGACACTCAAATACACACACAAAAACACTCTAATCTAGCCTTATTTCTAATGACAACTCCTGAGCCATTCATTTTGTTCTTGAATACCCACTTAGTTCTAACTACACTTTGATCCTTTGACCTTATAATTAATTCCCAAAAATAATTCTCTAGGCAACGAGTTTCCTATCTTAATTCTCTAGGCAACGAGTTTCCTATCTTCAATTTTTTTTTTAAATTAACTTGCTCAGTTTATTAATTGGCTTCATCTTTTAAAAATCTAAGAAGGATTAATTTTTAAATTACTAATTCACCCCCTCTTGGTTAGCCTTGGGACATTAACTTAGGTTTAACACAACCTATTCTAGAATTTACAAGATTTCAATAAGTGGTATCAGAGCTTTGTTTCAAAACTATAAGTTTAAAATAGTTTTTGATTAACGAGCATGGCTACTTTTGGAAATCGGAATACACCTAAAGGGTATTTGATCACTAGACCTCCTTTATTTGATAATATTCCTTTCTATTTTTAGAAAACATGCATGTTTATATTTTTACAGCCGCTTGATTATCATATGTGTTGAGTCTAGTAAATAGGTTGTTAAACCTAAGTTAATGTCCCAAGGCTACCAAGAGGGGGGGGTGAATT